CATAAGTGAAATAATCAGACCCACATGTGTAAACAACATATTGTCTCACTAGTGTAAGAACCTGGAAGAGTGAATAAAATTAGAAGGTATGATAGATATTGTGAAATGAAAGGAAACTGCTCAAAAATAAAGAACAACTGGAGTGAGAGAAAAGAAAGAAGGGGAAATTATGTATATGTGTGTATACCGGATAGCTAACATAGTTGTACTACTGACTTCTATCACTTTATGGAAAGAAACAGTTAAGGTTTGTTTGATCAATCTTACATGTCTATATTTGTTTTCCTGAGTAATCACTTTGAAGATATCAATATGTAATACAGCAACCAATGTTAATTTCCTATCACCTTGTCCAAAATTCTGTATTGCTTCTATTGTTTTTGTGTTATTTTGTAAATGTATGTGTGTTTGTTAATATGTTTTCATTCTTTTATTTTTAAAATAAAAAAAATAAATGTTCATCAAGATATCAGAGAGGGAGGAAGGGAGAAAGGTAAAGGTAGAGATAGAGAGAATGTATTGGTGAGTCCCAACTCTTAAAGTGTTTAAAGACTTTTCTTGACTTCTTACCTTTATTATTTTTTCCTACTATCCGACTTAGCTTTTATTCTTTCTGTATTCCTTTTCTCTTTTTTACATCTTAGGCCTGTAACTAATTTCTTTATGTACAAGAATAACCCTGGCAAATTGTAAAATTTATCTTTCAGGGATTTCTCTCCCATTACTACACGGAATGATCTTTTTCCCTAGTAGCATAATAAATTATCTTTACGCCTCAGTAAGCTATGAAACTAATTTCAACAACTGTTGAGAAATTTTCAAATTTCAAATCCATCCTTCTTTTGGTGCTTCCTTCTAAAGCTAATCATTACCATGGGTAGTTCCCAACCTTTTTCTAAGAATTAGGAATATTTATGTAATTTTGAGAAATAGAAATTCAGCCCACTTTCAGAGGGCCTGGCACTATATTACAATTATTTTTCTAGCTATCATACTATACTTTCTCTAAACTTTAAAGTTTACTTTAGCTTATATTGTATTTTAATGTTGTAGGGGCATCTATTCATACAGTATAATCAAATATTTTAAGCATGTATGATATGCTAAACACTGATTATGAATATCCACAAATGAAGATAAAAGCATAGTTTCTTTTTATTTTAAAGATAAAAGAAAGAAAACATTAACAGACACACAGACATTTACAAAATAATAGAAAAACAATACAAGCAATACATATTTTCAGGCAAGGTGACAGGAAATTAACAATGGTGGCTGGTTTACATATTCAAATTGGGTACTCAGATAAACAAATATAGGCATGCAAAAGTGATCAAACAATTAAACATTAACTGTTCCTTCCAATAAAGTAATAAAAATCAGTAATGCAATTATCTTAGCTATCTTGTGTATACATATATATATATATTTTCCCTTATTTATTTCCTTTTCTCTTTTCCCTCATCCCAGCTGCTCCCCACCTCGAGCAATCTTCTTCCCCTTTTACAATATCGGTTGCACCCTCAGACATCATTCACTCCCTCAGGTTCTTACACTAGTGAGACAATACAATATTTACACATGCGGGTGTAATTTATTTCACTTATGAGTATGGTCTCTAATTGTGACCATTTATCTATAAAAGCCCCGACTTAATCTTACTTTATAGTTGAGTAATATTCCATTATATAAAAATACCACAACTTTTTATCCATTCTTCGGTTGAGGGACATTTGGGTTGCTTCCATGATTTAGCTATTACAAATTGTGCTGCTATAATCATGGGCGCACGTATATCGCTGTGATACTATATTTTCAGTCCTTCTGAAAAAATACCCAGAAGGGAAACAGCTGGGTTGAATGGGACCTCTAATCCTAGTTTACTGAGCAGTCTCCGGACTAATTTCCACAGTGGTTTCACCACTCTACACTCACATCAACAGTGGAGAAGGGTTCCTTTTTCCCCACAGCCCCTCCAGCATTTGTTATTGGTTGATTTCTTAATGATAGCCATTCTTTCTGGGGTAGGATGGTTGTTTTAATTTGCATTTCTCAAATGACTAATGAGGTTGAACATTTTTTCATGTATTTATTTGCCATTTGTATTTCTTTATCTGAGAAGTATGTATTCATTTCATATGCCCATTTTTGGATTGGGTCTTTGAATTTGGAGGGGTTGATTTTTAAAAATTCTTTATACGTTCAGATAGAAGTCCTTTGTCCAAGGGACAGTTGGCTAAAATTGTTTCAATGCCAACAAAAATCCAAAAAGCTGGGCATGTCTGCATCCATGTATAATCCTAGCATTTAGAAGGCTAAGGCAGGAGGCTCGCCACAAGTTCAAGGCCAGCCAGGGCTACATACTGAGTTCAAGGCGAGCTTAGACTACATAATGAGATCTTGTCTCAAAAAAAACAATGAAAGAAAGACAGTGTTTCTATATGATCTTTATAATCTTGTGCCAGAAATTGGTCTTTCTCTTGGAAAGCATAGAAACAGACAATATAGTGGTGTTTAATGGCATCTGTGATTGTTGGGGTGCTAGAAAAGAAGCTGTGGCAGGGAAGATAATGGTGAAAGGATATAAAACTTCAACAATGTAGAATAAATTCAAGAGATCTATTATACAACATACAAATTATAGTTAATAACAATGTATTTTATTCTTGAGAATTTCCGGAAGAATAGATTTTAAATGTTCTAACAACAAAAAGGTGAGATAATGGTTATATTAATTAGCGTTATTTTTATAATGTTTAATATATACTGTATAAATAAAACATAAAATAGAACATATATTTTATTTTTAGGAATATAAGAATAATATCACCAAACTTGCACATGAAATGAAAATCAAAGAGGACGAACATATGATAGAAATAAGCAGACTTTATCAAGATATGCAGAAAAAAGGTAAATTTTTATCATTAATTTACTGAATTCTATGAAATCTTCAAATGATTCAAATGTACATGTAAATTTTCTGAGCAATAACCAGTATTCTTGAATGAACACTCTTAATTTAGATTTTATGCACTGGCACATATTTATCTGATGTAAATATATGAGTTAGTTAACAGCTACAATGAAACACTACCTTGCACCTCTTTTTTTTTTTTTTTTTTTTCTAAAATAAAAGGAGGAAAACATTAACAAACAGACAGTAGCAAAACAACAGCACAGATAGTACGGAGTTACAAACAAAGTGGTAGGGAATGAACAATGCTTGTTGTATTGCATACTGATATCTTCAAAGTGCTTTCTCATGAAAACAGATATAGACATGCAATGCTGATCAATCAAGGACTCACTGACAGTAAAGAAATACAAGACAGTAGAACAGCCATGTTAACTATCCTGCATATACACACATACACGCTTTCTCCTTCTTTCCCTTCTCTTTTCCACATCCCACTTGCCCTTTACCTTTGAGTGCTTTCCTATC